AAAAAAGAATTACTTTCGCTTGGACTCATTTTTTCCCTCAACAGGAATGGATGTGATTTGTATTCCATCTATTTTCTCATCCAACTGTTTGCATCATTTCTTTTGTGGTCGCCTAATTATTTTCTTTTCGTTGGGGAAAAAATTGGAATTTGGGTATTAGAAGCGATTTGTTTTGAGCGCGTGTGTTTGTCAAAGTGCGTGCGTGTGGTGGTTACACGCGCCTGCTTGCTCAGCCTTTAATGGGGATTATTTTCATAATTAAAAGTGAATCCGCACCTTGTTGGCATCTTCTCTCCCCCCCCCTCTCTTACCCTCTCCATCTGCCCCTCTTACTTTTTGCTTGCCTGGTTTTCGGAGTGTAACGGTCGATGAAATTCCACCTTTGAGTTTAAAGATGTCATTGAAAGCAGGCTTCGCTAGTATTTCGAATAAGGAAACTATGCGCACTGTCAATCGGTTATTCTTCCTTAATTACGAAGAAACAGTTAAATGTTCAATTATTAGTCCATTCAGATGTGCATATTACTCATACCTTTATTTAGTAGTAATAATAAGTAGTAAGTGTGTGACCCAAATAAGAAAATTGTATTGACAGTAGGAGGGAGATTTCAACTATTACTAAACGACAACTGTTAAAAGTTGACTTTAGTAAAAAAGAGCACGTTATTTGTAACACTAGAAGGACTACGTTAGAGGAAATAAAAATGGAAATCAAATGTTGAATGCCAGAAAAATGCAGTGCTGTTGAAGGCGATTGGGTGGGATTTCACTCCTGAAATGCCTTATTTATCTTCTTATTGAATGCGTGCCGCTGGTTGTCTACGCGCTCCACATCTATATGCCCCCCCCCCTCCCCCACGTTACCATTGGTTCTTTTATAAACACCTCTCTAATGGCACGCATTTCGCCATCTTCGAGCTAACTCTTCGACTCCCAAGGTGTGATTTGAAACTGTACGCAATAAAGCTTTCATCTGACTTATTTCTCTTTTCTGATCCACCTTCCCGCCTTTAAGACATGTCTATCCTGCGTTTCAAGGCTTCTTTGTAGGGGGGGCATTAGTATTCTTCCATAGTTTAATAACTATGCCTGGTCTATTACTTGACGCCTTATTATCGCGGCTGGTACTAAAAAATATTACAACGCATTTCAAAGAACTTGTTTATTTTTGTATTTTAAATTTGCTGGCAATTTAATTAAAGTAACAAATGTTTTTTTCCATTCAATCGATAGCGTCAGGTTGATTGCTGATTGCCAGTAGGTTGCTGACTTGGTAACTAAATCGTAGTAAAGTTATTATCTACTAACAAATATTAAGTAGGCTTTATCAAATATAACTTACTGTTTAATACTCCGATGCAGATGGGGCAGTTTCAATGGCACTTTGTGTTGGAGTACACATTGGAGAAGTTGATATTCCACGATCGTTTGCATTAATCAAATCTATAAAATGGATGAAGTAATTGTTCAAACAGAGGGAGGATATATCATTTTACCAAGTAAATTTCGTAAATCAAGCGAAGAACCATTGATGAACTGTGAGTATTTTTAATCACTTTCTATCAGAGTTTGGCTTTCGATTATGTTTTCAACATCATGCGTAAAAGCAACCTTAAAATTCTGTTCAAAAACAAATTATGACGGTGAAAAAACTGCCTAAAACATTTCTTATAATATATAAAAATGTCTGTAAACATAATTTAAAATTCACTATAACTGAAGTTAGAACTCACGTAGGTGATTGATGTCGACATTGGATGCTCATAAGGAAAGTAATTAGATAGTTGGTCAACTTCAAAGAGTTGACGAGTTTGGACATTTTAATATGAAGTGAAGTCCGAAGTCAACTAAAGGGCTATTGAAAACTATCAAAACACCTGCCATTTGATATAAATAAAATAAACATCTTAATATACTGGGAAATCTTCGGATTAGGATTGTTGTGGTTGAATGTTAATTGGTATGGAGCCAATCATTAGTCATCATATTTCCTAGGTACCGTGAAGTACCAATAAGAAGGCAGATCTAGGTGCAGTCACAGTAATTTAACTTGGTTCAGTCACGAAATCGCATGAAAAGTTAAACTAACTAGTGTCGGTAAAAAAAAAATATATATATATATATATATATATATATATATATGCCCACATTTGAGCCATTAAGGAAAACCGCTACCACTAAGGACTTGTAGAAAACCAGGCATTAACATGCAATGGACAGATGAAGATAAGGTCATGTGCTTAGCATTTATGCCCCCCCCCCTTCCACAAGACAGATCAAAATTATTTTTTATGTTTGTCAAATCTAGAGGTCATGGGGTGGAAAGGGGCGGAAAGGGGTGGGTCGATGGTCACTGATACAAAGACAGTGGGTGCAGCGACTTGGTTATAGAGATTACGGCAAAACTGGATCTTCTCGGCAAGAAGACTCCATGTTGTTACAGTTCTATTCACTATTGATTGATGAATAATGGTTCCAAACTTTGTCTCCTTGATGTTTTCCTGACAGAACAGAGTGGTTCTGCATATTTTACTCACGGAAAAACGAGCAAACATATTGTTAAATAGGGACAGTTGTCTATGCAGTCGTGGGTGACTTTAAATCAGCTACTTAGCACTATTGTCACTGAGTTAAGTTAACGAGGCCCTCGATGACTTCTGAGGACGTGTCGCTAAGTAAGCCTACAGATGGTCAACATTGAACACATTTTGTAACCAAACGTCTTCTATCTCTCTCTCTTCTACTTATGTCCTTAATGACTGGTTGCATTCGCTTGCACGCTGCTTTGCTTATTACCTAAGAATAATACGTCTATGCACTGGTGCAAATACATTCAGCAATTTCAGCTTAAACCGTTTTCAGTGGGTAAACATTCATTATTTGAGAAATCTATCCTCACGTTGCTATCGATGTAGTGGAAGTAAAAATTGAGTTTGAGGAACCTTTGTTAGCCCCTCCCGTAAGACAAATATTTAATAAAAGAAGTGCGTTCTACTCTCACAAGACCACTCGAATTGTTGAAAACGCGATAAACGATGGTAAAAAATGAGTGGATTTCTGAGAGTAGGGATATGAAATTTTGCTTTCGAGAAATGAAATCCAGAATAACTATTTTTCCCAAATGAGTTGGGAGGCTCTTTTTTCAATCTAATTTAAATATTTACCGTTGCTATGCAAAATTTCATACTTTCTGAGGAAACAGGAAGTTGGATTAATGAAATAAGAAGCGTATGCTTCATCTACACGCAAAGGACATACCGGAAGTTGACGCATTTGTTACCGTTGAGGTTGATGTCATAACACGAGAAGTTGTTAATTCAAGGGGTTTGTTTAGTTCCGACATTTCTCCTTCATTCCTATTAATTGAGACAAAAGGAAGGGAGAAAAATTCTTTTTAACTTCACTTGCAAACAAAATGTTTGCAAAATTGTTTATACTTTACTAAAACGACTAAAGATTCTCAAAAGTATAACCGGACACCGTTTGCAATTTTCCTAAATTCACTCTTTTTCCTATCCAATCCCTAAGTAACCCGAATACTATCAGACCGCATTTCAGCGCATTCTAACCATGTCCCCACGAGGCGCAATTCGATTACCGATTTCTACTCGCTCTTTCCTTGAAACGACTGAACTATTTTATGCGCAAAGTTTATTGTGTGGTTCTCACCTTCTCACCCAGTTGCTCCCTCTCCTCTCTCCCTCTCACACTGTCCAACATTATTCCTTGTTTGAACCACAAATCGTGGCATTCCCATTCGGTAAATATGATTGATTTTTCTTTTATGTATTTATGAGATTGTAAAGCAATCCAAACTCCTTACCACCCACGTGTTGAAGGCTAAGTAGAAAAATTATTGATTATCGATTTTTCTCGATATGGCTCATCATCACACGTCCATCTCAAGATTCTCAGTCCAAACATTCTTAGCCAACTTCTTCGCCTTCTCTCTCGCAATATATTTCACTATCTCTCGAATTTCGAGTGCAGTTGTTTAAAATTGGAAATTCTGATCTCAGTACTTTGACTGTTGTTAACGACAATCGGCCGTACACCACAATGATATATTTAATTTGTTTACAAGATATTTTGTCTTTTGAAAGCTCTACATTATTTGATTAGGATAGCAAAAGTTAGTTTAAGGGAATACACATCGAAAAATTCAATAAATTTGGTTGATGAATTGAATAAATTCATTCATTTAGAGTTCATTCAGTCGGAATAATATTTCATTTTATTTCCATCCCACTCCATCATTCAATTACGTTCATTAAATTAGCAGATTTAAATAAACTGACTAATCTAATATAACACAAAACTGTTCATTTTGAGTGATTTCTTGTGAGCCCACGTGTGATAAAATCATTTAATCTAATCAAACGAATGAATAATTACTTTCCATTCGCTGAATTTATTCTAAGCGTCTACACATTTCTCGTCAGTTTGTCATTTATAGGACTGTTAGTCAGATTCAAATTTGTCGAGATACGAGTGTCCCAGGCACTTATTAGCAATACGACTTCGGCATCTTTGACTTACCCACCGAAGGGAGGAAGATTTAAAGAAGAATTCAACGGAACCAGAGTTGATGCACTCTGTCTCCACCAATTTTTCTGAGTAAACAATGTGGAGGAAGGATTCTCATCATGTGAAGTAAAAGCCAAAGAGAAATTTGGCAAAAGCTCATCCGGCCTTGGTATTGATGGTTCATTCAGAAAACCCCCAGTCTTTAGTGCATCTGGAGAGTAAAGGTAAAGCAAATTCGGTATATAAAAATGAAATAATCATTTTCATGAAGATTGAGTTGAATAATAAGAAAAGGACTTAGCCCGAGTTCAACTTCTAGAGGTTCACTTAGAGCGAACTCCGATGGGTTTTACAACGTCAAAATCATTCGTCGCTGATCGCAGCTGCTTGTTCATTACCATAATTGGATATAATTTAATCTAGACACCTTGACCAACTCTACCAATTAAAAAGGGTTGAATATCCAGGATACAGTCTTTCTTAGTGGACTGAAAGTCGAATCATGGAAAGTATATATTTGAGGATGTGGACACGTCAACGCCCCACCCCTCCCCCCAGATTTTAAATAAATTTGTCTCCTGAAGCCATAGATTTACTATTTACACCTTCAAGACTTTGACTCCTTTTCTACTTCACTGGGATTCGTTCCCTTTTCCCCTTACCCGTGAATAGACCGGACACAGGCTTGGAAAAAAGTTAAAAGGATTCCCCCCCTCCCTCTTAATCACTAAAATAGATTTCTTAACTAATTACTAAGGCCTGTTATTAATAACCTAAATTCGAGACATTCAACGGTAGACGGTATTATAACTGGATTATATTTGTCCCCAGTGACCTGTCAGACATCATTATTTTTGGTTCCACTGCTTACAACTATAGAAGTGACCTCCATATGCTCTGCGAAATCTCCACAGAATTTTTTATTTTTCAATAAATGCGGTTAATTGGCCAGTTTAGTTTCTCTCCCTCATGAGGGATTTAAAATTTTGTTTAAGTCTTATTAGGGTTATTCAAGTGTTTCGTCCTGACAAAATACTTTACTAGGAGAGAGAGAGAGAGAGTTGAAGCTATTTCCACTATCAACTGTTTAAGCCTACTAAAAATATCCTGCCATTTTAAAAATAAAAATTGTATTTTAAACCATTTTTATGGCATGTAACCGATCTCTTAATACCAATTACAAGATGTTTATTCAGCCAATGATGTTGTATTGCTGTGAGCCACTCATTACAGCCACAGAGGTGACTCTCAAACCACTCGTACAGCCACAGAGGTGACTCTCAAACCACTCGAGAAGGCACACAACCAAGCATTACAACTGATTACTGGAGAGATAAAACCAACACCCATTGATGCAATGCTCCCAGTTACAGGAAGCACCACAATATGTTCCCTTATCAAAGAGAAGGCCTTGATTCTCTATGAGAAGCTACTGTGCATTCCCATATATAAATTCTTCAGCACCTATGAGAATAGACCAAGACATCTGAAAACGCAATCTGGTCTAATTCAGAAAGCCATAGAACTGAAGCAAGCATTACAAATCGACGACAAACGAAAAAAAGCCTCTCTCTACCCATGAACCCATTAGCAGGCATTGATGTAGTGTGTTGCACCCAACTGCTTGACTTCTTCAGGAAATCAAACACCCCTCCACAACAAATGCGCTAACTGACCCTTGAGACAATCATTGTCAACTATCCTGCAGATCAATGGTTCCAAGTCTTCACTGATGTGTCATACATAGAAAACCAAGCAAACGTTGGTTCAGGTGTCTATTCTGAACTCTTCTCTTTCTATGCAGCAGCCGGACACAATAGATCCGATTTCGAAGGAGAAATAGAGGCCATTAGGATAGCACTATGCCAATTATGTTGCCTGGATACGAAATTCACCAAAGTGGTGATACTTTCGGACTCACAGTCAGCTATAAACTCAATTGGAAGCAGAGAGACACCCAAGACAGCTGAGATAAAGGAATGTAGAAAACTCTATCAGCTGCTGAGAGAGAAAAACAAAACAGTGGTTCTACAATGGATTTCTGGTCACTGTGGCATTAAGGGCAATGCGCTTGTTGACACACTTGCTAAGAAGGGGACCAGCCGATGTCTTTCCACAAAATGATGGCCTTAATCAGAAGAGAATTCAAGACCTCAAGGTGCAACGAACTTAAAGCTGGAACAAAGGAGAAACAGTGGACAGTGGTACTCTCCGACATACCCGACTGGCCAAGAATCAAAGCCGTTGCTGAGTTTAGACTACGTATCGGACACGAGTGTCTGGCAAAACACCTTCACAGGTTGGGGGTATACACTCAACCCACATGCCCCCTATGTAACCTACAGGAGGAAATGGAGAAGACCCACCTGATTCGGTGTCTAGCTCTAAAGACAACAACGGAAAGCCAGAGATACTGGGAAGCAAGAAGACAGCTAATGAATTGCTATTAATTGACTGCTAAAAATGTACCCCCCCCCCCACCCTTGGGGGAAGCTGAAGTCAACTGAAGGGCTATTGAAAAATAGCATAAAGCCTGCCATTTGGTATAAATAGATTAGAAATTCCATACCTGTTTGTAAATCAGTCTCAAGGGAATCTATTTTTGCATTTGACTTATTTTTTTCAAGACTGTTTGACAAGACTGGTGGTGGTTGACTGACAGGTAAATGTGTATTACTGTATTGTTTTTCTCCAACCCCTACAAGGCAAATAATTCCAATTCCTTTCCAAACCAAGGTTGCAGTAGACGTCAAACACTTACAAGATAGTCGGAGCCATTCAAATACTGTTTCAGGCGGAAGACTGAGTAGTTGTAGAATATTCAAACCCCTAAGGGGATCTGAATTCTGATTTGAATTCACTTCCAAACGGGGAATCTTGGTAGGAAGTACCATGTCAGAATTCAATGGAAGATTTATTCTTTCCTGAAGGTAAAGTGGTATCGATACTCGCTTTGATGGTCTTCCTGGTCGAGCGCTGTAAATTCAAAAGAAAAATAGTGAGTTATTAGTTAGTTCAATCTGACTCATCATTATTCTAGCACAATGGTGCTTCGATCACGCTGAATGCTAATCTTCCAGCCCACGATATCGCAAACATTCTTATAGTACTAGGTAAACGAGACTTAAACATCTAAAAACACATTATCTTGAAGCATAATGTCAAGATGGTCTAAACAAAAAAGCTTTCAAACGACAAGGAAGGCTTCGCTTTAATTAGACAGTCACTGTTCAAATAGACAGCAATGTTGATTCCCTTCGATTTCGCGTGCAATTAAGAGAGCATTCGTGCAAAAATGGTACAATTCGAAGATATCCATTGCATCTGAATATTCGCAGAAAAGAAGATCATACTGTTGTACTATCGATTGTATCACTCTCCCGCAATGACGCTGAGTTCACTGGAGACCTTCACCAAATTCCGACCCTTCCATCTTTGGTTTTCAAATCAATGGTGATGAATTCATCGTCCGGACTGAGGTTTGGTCTTTCTATGAAATTCTATTGGAACCCGGTAAGGCCTATATTTATTACCTTCACACTTTTGGCTGGTTAAAATGCGGACTTATGAAGAACACCTTTTACAATAATTTAAAAACCAGATAACTATAATAATGCCGTGCGTTGGGCGATAGACTTACCTCCAAGTGGTGCACCCCGGGCAAAAGTCTATAATCAGCGATTGACTTCTGACTTCAAACTACCATGACCCCACTGTATG